AGAGGCAGGTGGATCTCTGAGTTCAAGGCCAGCCTGGTCTACATAGTGAGTGCCAGGGCAGCTGGGGCTACAGGGAGACCCTGTCTCAAAAAGACCAAAAAAATTTTTTTAAACATTTATCATATTTAAAATTTTTTATTTTGTATGTGTATGTGTGTTCCCATGCACCAATGCACATGTGTTCTGTGGTCCACATGTGGAAGGTCAGAAGACAACTAGTGAGAGCCAGTTCTCTCCTTCCACCATGTGGTCCAGTGGGCCAAGCTTGGCAGCAGACACCTTCACCTGCTGAGCCCCAGCACACTTTTAACTTTTATAACCAGTTCCTTATTATTTCATTGTTCTTGTTGTCATTTCCAAAACAATATTTAGTGCTAAAAATCTAAGCAGGTGATCCTGCTGTTTCTGGTGGGGTGATTGATGGATACTTATTTAGGATCAGCAGTGTTGTAAGACCTGAGAATAAGCTATGAATAAGACAAAAAATATGTCCACACAGGCTAACCTGAGGAGGAGTGCCATCGAGGGGGGGTTTGAGTGCCTTTGGTACGCTGCTGGTGGCATTTTGTCATTTAATGATATTCGCTATTGATTTTGTTTTTTTTTGGGGGGGGGTCTTTTTGAAGCAGGGTCTCCCTGTAGCCCCAGCTGTCCTGGAACTTGCTATGCAGACCAGGCTGGCCTTGAACTCACAGAGATCTGCCTGCCTCTGCCTCCCAAGTGCTGGGATTAAAGGCGTGCGCCACCACGCCCGGCTTGTTACTGATTTTTAAAAGTAAAAAATTGTGTGTTTGTGTGAGGTTTATGCTTGTGTTGCATGGTGCCCATAGAGGCCAGGAGAGGGCCTCTGGAGCTGGAGTTACAGATGACTGTGAGCCACCCGACATGGGTGTTGGGCACTGAACTAGGGCCCTTTGCAAGAGCAGTATGTGTTGTTAAGTACTTTTAACTACTGAGCCATCTCTCTAGCTCCGAAATGTTTGAGACAGAGTCTCACTATGTAGCTCTGGCTGGCCTGGAACTCAATATATAGACCAGGCTAGTCTGGAACTCACAGAGATACATTTGCCTCTGCTCCTGAGTGCTGGAATTAAAAGTATGTGCCACGATACCTGGAGAAAATATTTCTGTTTTTAAAATGAATAGCTACCAGATTTCATTAAGTACTTCTTAAGAATTAACTAATAAAATGATCTATCATTTATTGTTAATTAATTAATTTGTGCTCACAGCCAAAAACCGACAGAAGCCAAAAGAGGGTGTTAGATCCCCTGGAATTCACTACGTATCCCAGGCTGGCTTTGAACTCCTGTATGTTCTCCTGCCTCAAATTCTCTTGTGTTGAGATTGTGGGCATGCACTACCATATCTGGCTTAAACTGCTTATTTTGTTATTAACTTTTATATAGGTTTTATAAAAAGGTCTGGGGCAAAGGTTTCTACTATTTTTTAATTTATTATTTTATGTGTATGAGTATATTGCCTGCATGTATGTGAGTGCACCAGTGTCGTGCAATGCCGTGGAGGTCAGAAGAGGGCTTTGGATTCCCCTGGAACTGGAGTTAAGGATAGTTTGTAGCTGCCATGTGGGTGCTGGGAATTGAACCCGGGTCCTCTGCAAGAGCAGTCAGTGCTCTTAACCACTGAACCATCTCTCCAGCCCCAAGGTTTCTACTATTTTTAACACTTATTTAATATTTATTTAATGTGTGTGGGTACATGTGTGCTAACACACATGTGGAAGTCAGAGAACAATTTGTGGGAGTCAGTTCTTTTCCTTCACCATGTGGGTTCAGGCAGGGATCAAACCCAGGCCGTCAGGCTTGGCAACAAGCATCTTTATCCATCGAGTCATCTTACTGGGTCCTGATCTGCTTTCTTAATTGTTTTTCATGTACATTATTTTTTTGCCATATCGAGTTAGTTTTCCATCACTGTAACAGAATATCTGAGATGATTAACTTGAAAGGAGCAAAGGTTTATTTATTTTAGCTCATGGCTTTAGAGGCTGCAGTCCATGACTGGGCAGAACCATTGCTTTTAGGCTTCTAGGGGGGTGCTGGATGGCAATGATGGGGTGTGTGTGTGATGGAGCCACCCATTTACTTTATGGCCAGGAAGTGGAGAGAAAGGGACGGATCAAGATCTCACAATCCCCGTCAATGGCATACTCTCAAAGACCTAAGAAGTTACCACTAGGCCTGATCGCTCAAAGGCTTTAAAAGTTCCCAACACCACCACCTTGAGAAACTAAGCCTTTAATACACAGGCTTTGTGGGACACATTCAAGATCCAAAATATAGCACCATGTTTGTTTTAATTTTCCTGCGGACTGAAGGGTGCTCAAATCATTGCCCCTTTTATTTTTTTAATTACTTTTTTTTTTTTTTTTTTTTTTTTTGTATTTGAGACAGGGTGGTTCTATAGCCCCAGTTAGCCTGGAACATGCTATGTAAACCAGCCTGGCTTGGATCTCACAGAGATCCACCTGACTCTGCCTCCTCAGTGCTGGGATCAAAGGTGTGTGCTACCACACTTGCCTTTCATTGTCCCTTTTAAAAACTGGATTGTTTATTTTTCTTACCATTGATTTCTGAGTTTTTTTAAAAATATTTTATTTATTTATTTTTTATTTTTTGTGTGTGAATGTATTGCCTGCATGTATGTAAGTGCACCTGTATTGTGCAATGAGGAGTCAGAAGAGGGTGTTCAATTTTCCTGGAACTGGAGTTAGGGATGGTTGTTATCCGCTGCATGGGTGTTGGGAATTGGACCTAGGTCCTCTGCAAGAGCAGCCAGTGCTCGTAAACACTGAGCCATTGCCCCAGATCCCTGAGAGTTGTTTTAAAAATATAGTCTGGATGTAAGTTCTCTATCAGATATTTGTATTACAAAGACTGCATCAATATATGCTGGCAGACAACAGAGCGATTGCCTTAGATTCTGAGAGTGTGAGATCATGAGTACCAGAACATAAATAAGGAGTATGAGGTAAAGGAAAAGTTTTTTGTTTGTTTTGAGACAGGCTCTTACTGTGTAGCCCAGGCTGGCATTGAACTCAGTCTTCCTGTCTCAGCCTCCTGAGTGTTGAGATTACAAGTGTATGTCACCATACCTAGCTCTCAGTACTACATAGGGTCCTGGAAGACACCCCCCACCCCTGTCCCCAACACACTTAGTATGTATCTAGTAGTAGGATGGTTCTACAAAATGCAGAGAAAGTGATTGAGCAATGTGGATGAGTGAGTTAGCAAAGGGGATGCTAGACCTCCAAACAATGAAGGTTAGGTGGGGCCACTCAACCATTTAATGACGGTGGGTGCAATTAGTGTCAGGAGTTGGGTTATATTTTGAGGGTCTCCCACAGGCCTATGTATCTGAGCACATGATTCCTGGCTGGTGGCATTGTTTTGGGAGGTTGTGGAGCTTTTTGGATACAGGGCATAGCTGGTGGATGTAGGGCCACTAGGGTAGGACTTCAGGGTTCTAGGCTGGTCCCACTTCTAGTCTGGCTTTCTGCTACATGTCTGCCTGTTTGTGATCAGCTGCCTTCTGCTCCCAGCAACACGGACAGGAGCTAACCTACCTCATTGCCCTCCTAGCCACTATAGACTGTAGTCTCTGGAAATGTGAGCCAGAGTCTTTCCTCCCTTAATTTCTGTCAGATATTCTGTCACAGTGATGAGAAAAGCAACCAAGTGTGAGGTATGCAGAGGAGGATAGGGGATGGGCCTGAAAGCCCACCTCCCAGCCCATGTTTGACATATACTTAGGCTTCTTGGAGCCTGTTCTGTTCCTTCCCTGACTAGAGAGTTCACTTCTGCAGTGACTTCCAGCCCATTTCTATGCTCTGGGCATTTGATGTTCATATTGATAAGGGTTTGATTTGATTCTTGTTCAAATGCCCTTTTAGTTTTGCTTTGTTGTTAGCCTTGTTTAATCTTGGTCCTAATTACTCAATATACATCTTGACTCTTCAAAAACCTCAGCTAGTTGTAAGCTTTATCATGACAGCAACAGCACGGTTAATTACTTCCTCAAATGGCTAAAGACAACTTAGGACTCAACCCTTGAGAGAGTGTCTTTTCTTTGGAGTAGTTGAGACTGCCTTAAATTCTTCTGGCTAGTGAGTGCCCATGAGTCTTGGGACTCTGAGATCTCTTCTCATGCATGAGCAACTTATCTTGCTTGGTACGAGCCTATAAAATAAGGCAATGTCCCTGATCTAGAATAACTGTATAGTCCCTGAGGACTGTTCAGTTCTGTCCCTCTCCCATCAATTCATTCTGTTCTTCCCCTATGCCCAAATGAACCCACAGCACTGTGCTTACTCCCAAGCCTCCGTAGTGCCAAGTGTGATCCCTGGCTGTAGCCATCACTTTCTAGTTCCCTGGGACAGGTTCACTTTGGAGTTCCACATGTGTGTTTGAAACCAGCACCTTGTCCAGTCACTGTGTTCCTCTAATCCTCTACAATGGGCTCACATTCTCTCTTATTAGGTATTAACTACAGGCTAGTGTTGGTTTCCTTAACAAACCCTAATGGCTTCCTCTTTATTTCCCATGAGGCTCTGAAAGCACGTCCACTGATGAGTCTCCTCTACTCCTGATTCCCCTGGGGTAATGGTGTTTTATCTAAAACCAGTAAGGCTTAGGGTCCCTGGCCCTGCAAAAGGAACTTCAGACAGTATGATTTGGGAAATGTGGAAAATTCATTCCACACAGAGTTGGTTATCATTTTATATTTTTCAAAAACAAAATCTTACAGAAAATCTATGAATATGTTAAAATAATTTTCTATGTATCCAGAATAAGAAAATGCAATGGTTAGCCTATTGACAAACAATAACTTGAATTATAATAGTGTAATAATTCTGGAGTATTTGAACTAATGTGTATTTTTATAATGTAAATATGTTGTTGTGGACTTGTTTAATGGAACTAGAAGATAAAGCAAATTGAAGATGGTCATTGGTTTGCTATCCAGACTTCCATCAACAGTTATCTGACACTTATACTCGATAGGTTCACTGTGTTTCCTCTAATACATCTTCGGCATGCCTTCAATGGGTGGATGTTATGCAGCTGGAGTATAAAGGCTGTAAAAATGCAGCCCCCCAGCACTACGGCTGTTGTGACAGCAATTAGCGTGTGTCCTGGAAATGGCAGCGGCACTTCATCAACGTAAATCTGCAAAAGAAAAAGTGAAGTCATTACTCTTTCTGGATCTAGTCATGTAACTCATGGGGCATTATGGGATCCTCACAGTTCATCACACAAATTCTTCCCAGAGTTCTGCACACAGATCCAGCACACAGATTCTGCTCAATTTTTTTCCTCTTAGCGTATCTTGGATTGACAAGTGTGTCATTTCCCCCAGCATCATCCCATTGCATACTTTTTGCATTTACTATACCTGAAATTCTTCAACCAAGTTACAAAAGGTGACCCCTGGAACAACAGACACTCTGAAGTGAAACAGCTCGGAGCCCTGTGGAGCAGACACGCCTGGTCACTATCAGTGCATGTCTTCCTTTAAATAAAATAGCAGTTGGAGTTACTTTCATATATGTTGTGTAGAAAGAGACCCATTCCTCCCTAAGGCTCTTGGACATATATATCACACATAAAATTAAAAGAGGTGTTGCCGGGCGTGGTGGCACACGCCTTTAATCCCAGCACTCGGGAGGCAGAGGCAGGCGGATATCTGTGAGTTCAAGGCCAGCCTGGTCTACATAGTGAGTTCCAGGACAGCTGGGGCTACAGGGAGACCCTGTCTCAAAAAAGACAAAAAAATAATAATAATAATTCAGCAACATTAAAAAAAATTAAAAGAGGTGTTGAAACAGGAATTCAACAACATTGAACATCATTTTCAGAATAAAGAAACAAACAAACAAGCAAAAAACCAACTTGGCTTTGATGAATACTTTGGGTTAGTATTTGTGGCTCTAACACAGTCCTGCATTTTCACTGGTTTTTACACTTTCCTGGGGTGTATCAATTCTGTGGGTTCCGAAAGGAGTTAGACTCCAGAAGATATGCTTGTGCGTACTCCTGTGAGCCCTAACTTTTGGAAACTTTTCTACTTCCCTTGCATATCTGCTTAGAAAATAGTAAATTAATGTTAAGTTCAACTTTTGCATTCTTTTAGCAATAGCATCAAGGGAAATAAAGGGAAAAGAGACATTTTCTATATTCTTTAAAGTTGCTATTCCTACTATTCATGGACATCTATACTTTAAAATCAATCTTAGTTTAGCAGACATGTTTTATCTAAACTCTACACATTAAAAACAATGCTGTTAACTCACCCTTATACTTAGGTTGAGACCGAAGGGATTGTATACCGAAGTTTGAAGTGCTGTTTCTAAGCGATCTTTCATTTTCTTAACATTTTCTGGTACAGTGTGTTCTAAAATACAATAAGTATATTTTAAGCATATTTATGTTTTCATGTTTTGCCTAAAAGTTGTTGCATACATTAAGGTACAGTGAGAGATTCTACTCTGTAATGTGACCAAGGAAACTCATGTTCTTAGTTTTACCTGACTTTGTAGATAATGTCTTTAATATATTTAAAAAAATTTACATATATATATAAAATTTTTTTTGGTCCTTTTGAGACAGGGTCTCCCTTTAGCCCCACCTGGCCTGGAACTCACCATGTAAACCAGGCTGGTTTCAAACTCACAGAGGTCTGCCGGGCTCTGCCTCCTAAGTGCTGGGACTAAAGGCTTGTGCCACCACGTCTGACACTTAATAAATATATTTTAATATAAAAAGCCGGACATGGTGGCTCATGCCTTTAAACCCAGCACTCAGGAGGCAGAGGCAGGTGAATCACTATGCATTCAAGGCTAGCCTGGTCTAC